TTCAATGGTAGAACATTCAAACACGAGATGAACACTTTAAGAAGTGTCACGTGCCTTTGGATTAAGAATGAACAAGACATCATTATCCCCCTTAGATACAAAGAGATGGATTGATAAGGATGGTGTAACTACCTATGCTTATGGTTATCGTGGCAATACTGTATTGTTGGGAACTATGAGCAACTCTTCTTGTACAAATCACTGCCCGGTCCATCTTTAAGATAATAACAAATAGGCTCTCCTTCTTTCATAGCCAACCGACTAATGGTATATATCTGAAGGGACCAAAACGGATCGGTTGCGCGATGTTGACCCGAGTTCACGGGCTGGTATTAATATCTTACGCTTACTCTATCCGGAAGTTTTTGTTCTTTGCCTCTCCTCGGTGCTGAAGATTCAGAAGTCACAGATTCCATTTTAATCACATCGGATGGTTTCTTCCTGATTAATCTTGTTACTTCATTATTCAGCGCTGATACAACAGCTGATAATCGTGTCACCCATTCGGTTGATCTTAATCGTTCTGATTTCATTTCAATCCCATACTTATATCCAAACAAACGTTCCGCTAATGTCCGGTAAAATCTTTCAACGATAGCTTGACTACGGTGGGCCTCTTTTTCCCCAAGCCTGATTTCGACATCGGGCTTTGTTAACAGTTTAGTTACTGATCCCATAAACTTGCGACCAGGATCTACTTGAAATAACTTGGCCATTTTAGTAGTCCGCATTTATATATGCGGCTCAGTGCATTAGCTACCTCTGTTGAATCTTTTGAGGTTAATGGTTCAGCCTACTTGTAGCAACTAGCCACATCCACTACGGTTAAAGTGTATTTATGTTTTGCATGTTACCTTATGGGGAAGAAACAAGAGGTCAGCCTAATGAGCTTCATTTTTTGTAAAAATATCAATTCTTTGGGATATAACGCGGTGCCGGTAAGTATATTTGCCACATCACTTGTTTCTTTAGCCATTCCTTGGCCACATCTTTAGATACCTTAGCCGCAGTGGCTAATTTTTGTATTGCTGCTATACCTTTCCAATATCCTCGTTGGCTATAGTAAATTTTATCCATTGTTAATTAATAGTGATGATTCTTTTAATACGAATCATGACAACCGTTGAATTGCATCATCATTTTTTCATAAATTCCCTCTGTAGTAGCAGTACTGGGTATAAATCTGGCTCCAGTGGAAGTGAGCCAGAACTGTAATTACTTATACTACTCCAACAAAGATTGCATTCATTTTGTTCTTTGCTCTGCTTTCTTTTTAATATAACTGGCATATGTATTATTTGTCGTGTGATTCAACGTATATGTTATGCATTTTGATTGTGTTTTTCACACTTTAAATAAAGTTCTTTTAAAATACCTTGTCAGCTCTGGGGACACATGTAGCCCAGTCGTAAAGGCGCCGCGATTCGCTGTGAAGAGTTGCGTTCTTTGGGCACGCCAGAAACCTATGACTGTGGGTTCGAGTCCTGGTTGGCCCCGATTAGGTTTGTTAGCACCATACCCGTGCTCGTGGGTCTCATCTCTTCAGGCTTTCCTCCCTCATTAAGCTGACATGCAGTGATATAACTGGAATACTGTTAAAAGCGGCGTTAAACCCATCTCACTCACTCACCTTGTCAGTTCTGTAAACATCTCCTTCAGACTGCTGTACTGATAAAGGTGGCACCTAGCTGTAGCCTCTTTGAATCTTTGGAAGTTGAATTATTATGTTTCTTGTTAACAATAAATATTTCAACTTTTATCAAAACGTTTACCTTTCTTAAAAAAATATTATATCCAGGAAACAAACTGAAATGATAATGATAGATAATGATAATGACCACTGCTGACCTCCACGTTTTTGGGACAGAAGGCATGAGTCGTTCTTGTGATGGACTTATATAAGGTAGCTGACCCCGTGAGCCCATTAACCCTGGCACTTACCCTGGCACTTACCCTGGCGCCTACCCTGGCCCCTCCCTGGCACCTATGTTGGTTAGGGAGAAGGTGGCTTGGGATTTAATCGAAAAAAATGTCCCAGAAAATTCTTGAAAAAATATCATCCTTCATTTTGCTGGAAAAATACATTAATATTGTTGCAAGGTGGGTTTCTTACGAAACTACTCAGGCTCATAACTTTAATTATAAAAATATCTGGTTTTGCAGCTACAACAGAAAAAAATCTAATCTACGGGGAAAATCAGTCCCTGAGAAGACCGTTCGCAATTTTACCATGCTGTTCAATATTTCCTCTTATGCAGATTCCTTCTTATGCAGGTTCTTGTCTTATCTTGTTCAAATCAATGTTATTGTATTGTGAGTTGTGAATATTTTTAAAAGGGTATTCGCCTAGTACGGATGTGATATCTATAAACATCGAACTCCTTCCAGCTTCCGACTATTTTCTGAATTCAAGAGCCGATACAGGCCTGTTTTAAATACAAAGAACAAAACGCCTTCTATGGTTAGGAAATGTCTGTCAAAAGAAGTCGATTTTACGATTCGACATTCATACATAAGATATTCGTCAATTACAAAATTCTAGATATAGGTATATATATATATATAAACATTCCTGGAATGGTTTCGGTGTAGGTCTTAAATGGCGGCGATGGGGCTGTTTCCAGTTTGATATCTAATGCAAACGCTACTGGTTTCTGAAGGTGAAGTACTCTGAAAACAGTTTGTGGATGTTGATGAGGCAGGATACGCTCACCTTTTCGGTTTGTTTGTTGGTTATTTAACTTCATTCCAGCTATATGACGGTGGTCTGTAAATTATTGAATCTGGACCGGTCAATCCAGTGATTGATATCATGAGCATCGATCCATGCAATTGGGATACGATGACATGCATCAACCAAGACAGCAAGCCTGACCACCCGATCCCGTTAGTCGCCTCTTACGACAAGTATAGTCTCCAGCTTTTACTATCACCGATGACACCTTTTCACCTGGTATCATCAGTGATAGCGACTCACATGCTCATGACAAACTCGGATCGTTCAGTCGGCGCTGCTTTTGGCAGAGATATCTTATGAATATGAGATCGGATTTCGGTGCTTTGTTTAATAGTGCTTTTCTATTTGAGACTACGAGAGCCTAGTTTTCCATAAAACGAAGTTTCGTTTTTGACGGGATTGCCTAAAAGTCGGGCCAAGAAAGGCCGGGCCGGGCCGGGCCAGCGGGTAATACTAAAAATGGATTGCAGAATAATAAAACGAAACGCGCATATCTAGGCAGATCTCAAATGTCCACAAACGTATAGTTTTGCTCATTTAATTGAGTTTGAATAAAAATGCACCTTCAACAATGTAATAAACTGATGATTATGACTACATACCGTGAGTCTCGTAGAAAAGTCAGTGTCTTGACTGTGTGTATTATTTGATTAGAATGCTTCTCACCGACCTTAGCGTGTAGGGGTGTGATGTCCTGGGCAGGAAACGACAGTGTTTTGACTACTCTTCTTTCATTAATTAACGTGTTAAGGTAATTAACCTTTACTAATTCGTGTAAAACCAACACAGGATGTTTCCTGGAAGTGGATATTCGCGAATGTCAAAGGACTGACACGACACGTGTTAATAACTATCCAAGCACTTCTAAAGTTCCTAACATTCTTTATATCTAAAGACTAGTGTTATATCTAATTATATACCACTTTATTGTCTCATATTTCAGTAGTTTAAGAAAACACAGAGCTCAAAGTGAAGCCTTTTTCACTCTACATTCTCAAAATAGTCTCTATCAGAAGTGTTTGACTTGTGTTGGGTCCGACTTGGCCCGGGCTGTCAAAATGCACTTTAAACACACAAATGTATCATCAAATGTCTTTAAATCTATAGACTAGCATTATATCTACCTATATACCACTTTAAAGTGTCTCAGTTCGCTGTATTTAAAGAAAACAAGGTGCTCAAAGTGAAACCCTTTTCCCTCTACATTCTCAACATAGTCTCTATAAAAAGTGTTTGGCTTGTGTTGGGTCCGACTTGGCCCGGGCTGTCAAAATCAACTTTAAACACATAGATGTATCTTCAAAGTATTCACATCTATAGACTAGTGTTATATCTACCTATATACCACTTTATAATGTCACAGTATATCGCATTCAAAGAAAACTGGGCCGTTAAAGTCAAGCACTTTTACTGTATTTTCTTAAGAAAAACCCTGTTAGAAGTGTTCGGTCCGACTTGGCCCGGGCTGTCAAAATGAACTTAACCCGCACAGATGTATCATCAAATGGATTCACATCTATAGATTAGTATTATATCCAGCTAAATACCACTTTATAGTGTCTCAGATCGCTGTACTTAAAGAAAACAAGGTGCTCAAAGTGAAGCCCTCTTCCCTTAAGATTCTTAAGAAAATACAATAAAAATGCTCCACTTTGAGCCCCTTGTTTTCTTTAAATACGATGTACCGTGACATTATAAAGTGGTATATAGGTAGATATAACACTAATCTATAGATTGAAACACATTTGAAGATACATCTGTATGTTTAAAGTTGATTTTGACCGCCCGGGCCATGTCGGACCGAACACTTGTGTGACTGTTGAGAGTATAGGGAGAAGAGGTCTACTTTAACCAACGTGTCTGCTTTAAATACGACGATCAGTGACATTATAAAGTAGTATTTACTTTTATATAGTACGTTCCTATAAATATAAACGCTATGCCGACAGATGGAAATTTGTATCACGATAGCTAGAAGTATTTGATACGTTTCAAATCTTATTTCGTTTAACGATTGCTCTTTTACATGTTACCAAGATCAGCGACGCCTACACACAGCTCCACTTTCTGGTTTCAAGCGATTTACTCCGAATTACTTATTTATGGTGCACCTTTTTGTTTGGTGATTGTTCATTAATGTCATGTGTGTATGTTTCATCAATTATATGTAGGTAGGATCGCCGATAATGAAGTAATTAGCCAGTAACACTTTGGCCCGACTTTTAGGCAATCCCTTTTAATTGGACTATCTATGTTGTGACAGGCCGATACCCCAGACCCCAGAGTGCTGTCCCTGGACCTTACCCTTGTTTGCAGCGACGACAAGAGCAAACAAGCCACCCTCATCAGCTACCCCGTTACATTCAAGGGCCATGTTATCAAAGACATGCAAATCTTCTGCAAGAATGGATGGATGCAAATGACACGTGGAAGAGGCATTAACATGATTCGCATTCATTATCCACAAACTTACACTTCAGTAGTTCCAGGGGCATGTGTATTCCGGGGACCATACTCTGTTCCGACTAATGACTCTATTGAGATGTATAACGTAAGTGTTGCACTGCTATGGAGCGATGGGACACCAACCTATGAGTCTCTTGAATGTAATGTTACTAAGTCACAGGCATCCAATGCACCTGAACCGAAGGCTAGTCCTACATCAAGTACACCTCAACCAGAAGCAGCTTCCCACAACCAGAGCAAACTGATAGACTGGGACGTATTCTGCAGTCAGAATGAGAATATTCCAGCCAAATTCATCAGTCGTCTCGTTGCGCCCAAATGCCTAGCTGTGGAAAAGATGGATGTAGATTGCAGCAATGGACTGGTCCCAATAACTCACGAACATGGCTTTAATATGATGCTCATTCAGTACACCCGCAATAAGCTCCTGGACAGTCCAGGAATGTGTGTATTTTGGGGACCATATTCAGTTCCAAAGAATGACACTGTCGTACTGTATACCGTTACTGCCAGGCTGAAGTGGAGTGAAGGACCTCCAACCGATTTGTCGATTCAATGTTACATGCCCAAGTCACCCGATGCACCTAAGCCAGAGAGTTGTCTTTCAAGTCCACCTGAACCAGAGGCTAGTCCTTCATCCAATGCACCAGAACCAGAGACGTATCCAACATCAAGTGCACCTGAAAAGGTATATTCAGATCAACCTGCACCTTCTCACAACCAGAGCAAACTGATCGACTGGGACGTATACTGCAGTCAGGATGAGAGCATTCAAGCCAAATTCATCAGTCGTCTTGTAACCTCAAAGGACCAAGCTTTGGAAAAGACGGAGATAAATTGCAGCAATGGACTGGTCCCAATAACTCAAGAATTTGGCATTAATATGATGCTCATTCAGTACACTCGCAATGAGCTCCTGGACAGTCCAGGAATGTGTGTATTTTGGGGACCATATTCAGTTCCAAAGAATGACACTGTCGTACTGTATACCGTTACTGCCAGGCTGAAGTGGAGTGAAGGACCGCCAACCAATTTGTCGATTGAATGTTACATGCCCAAGTCACCCGTTGCACCTAAGCCAGAGACTGGTCCTACATCCAATGCACCAGAACCAGAGACTTATCCAACATCAAGTGCACCTGAAAAGGTATCTTCAGATCAACCTGCACCTTCTCACAACCAGAGCAAACTGATCGACTGGGACGTATACTGCAGTCAGAATGAGAGCATTCCAGCCAAATTCATCAGTCGTCTTGTAACCTCAAAGGACCAAGCTTTGGAAAAGACGGAGATAAATTGCAGCAATGGACTGGTCCCAATAACTCAAGAATTTGGCATTAATATGATGCTCATTCAGTACACTCGCAATGAGCTCCTGGACAGTCCAGGAATGTGTGTATTTTGGGGACCATATTCAGTTCCAAAGAATGACACTGTCGTACTGTATACCGTTACTGCCAGGCTGAAGTGGAGTGAAGGACCGCCAACCAATTTGTCGATTGAATGTTACATGCCCAAGTCACCCGTTGCACCTAAGCCAGAGACTGGTCCTACATCCAATGCACCAGAACCAGAGACTTATCCAACATCAAGTGCACCTGAAAAGGTATCTTCAGATCAAGCTGCACCTTCTCACAACCAGAGCAAACTGATCGACTGGGACGTATACTGCAGTCAGAATGAGAGCATTCCAGCCAAATTCATCAGTCGTCTTGTAACCTCAAAGGACCAAGCTTTGGAAAAGACGGAGATAAATTGCAGCAATGGACTGGTCCCAATAACTCAAGAATTTGGCATTAATATGATGCTCATTCAGTACACTCGCAATGAGCTCCTGGACAGTCCAGGAATGTGTGTATTTTGGGGACCATATTCAGTTCCAAAGAATGACACTGTCGTACTGTATACCGTTACTGCCAGGCTGAAGTGGAGTGAAGGACCGCCAACCAATTTGTCGATTGAATGTTACATGCCCAAGTCACCCGTTGCACCTAAGCCAGAGACTGGTCCTTCATCCAATGCACCAGAACCAGAGACTTATCCAACATCAAGTGCACCTGAAAAGGTATATTCAGATCAACCTGCACCTTCTCACAACCAGAGCAAACTGATCGACTGGGACGTATACTGCAGTCAGAATGAGAGCATTCCAGCCAAATTCATCAGTCGTCTTGTAACCTCAAAGGACCAAGCTTTGGAAAAGACGGAGATAAATTGCAGCAATGGACTGGTCCCAATAACTCATGAATTTGGCATTAATATGATGCTCATTCAGTACACTCGCAATGAGCTCCTGGACAGTCCAGGAATGTGTGTATTTTGGGGACCATATTCAGTTCCAAAGAATGACACTGTCGTACTGTATACCGTTACTGCCAGGCTGAAGTGGAGTGAAGGACCGCCAACCAATTTGCCGATTGAATGTTACATGCCCAAGTCACCCGTTGCACCTAAGCCAGAGACTGGTCCTACATCCAATGCACCAGAACCAGAGACTTATCCAACATCAAGTGCACCTGAAAAGGTATCTTCAGATCAACCTGCACCTTCTCACAACCAGAGCAAACTGATCGACTGGGACGTATACTGCAGTCAGAATGAGAGCATTCCAGCCAAATTCATCAGTCGTCTTGTAACCTCAAAGGACCAAGCTTTGGAAAAGACGGAGATAAATTGCAGCAATGGACTGGTCCCAATAACTCATGAATTTGGCATTAATATGATGCTCATTCAGTACACTCGCAATGAGCTCCTGGACAGTCCAGGAATGTGTGTATTTTGGGGACCATATTCAGTTCCAAAGAATGACACTGTCGTACTGTATACCGTTACTGCCAGGCTGAAGTGGAGTGAAGGACCGCCAACCAATTTGTCGATTGAATGTTACATGCCCAAGTCACCCGTTGCACCTAAGCCAGAGACTGGTCCTACATCCAATGCACCAGAACCAGAGACTTATCCAACATCAAGTGCACCTGAAAAGGTATCTTCAGATCAACCTGCACCTTCTCACAACCAGAGCAAACTGATCGACTGGGACGTATACTGCAGTCAGAACGAGAGCATTCCAGCCAAATTCATCAGTCGTCTTGTAACCTCAAAGGACCAAGCTTTGGAAAAGACGGAGATAAATTGCAGCAATGGACTGGTCCCAATAACTCATAAATTTGGCATTAATATGATGCTCATTCAGTACACTCGCAATGAGCTCCTGGACAGTCCAGGAATGTGTGTATTTTGGGGACCATATTCAGTTCCAAAGAATGACACTGTCGTACTGTATACCGTTACTGCCAGGCTGAAGTGGAGTGAAGGACCGCCAACCAATTTGTCGATTGAATGTTACATGCCCAAGTCACCCGTTGCACCTAAGCCAGAGACTGGTCCTACATCCAATGCACCAGAACCAGAGACTTATCCAACATCAAGTGCACCTGAAAAGGTATCTTCAGATCAAGCTGCACCTTCTCACAACCAGAGCAAACTGATCGACTGGGACGTATACTGCAGTCAGAATGAGAGCATTCCAGCCAAATTCATCAGTCGTCTTGTAACCTCAAAGGACCAAGCTTTGGAAAAGACGGAGATAAATTGCAGCAATGGACTGGTCCCAATAACTCAAGAATTTGGCATTAATATGATGCTCATTCAGTACACTCGCAATGAGCTCCTGGACAGTCCAGGAATGTGTGTATTTTGGGGACCATATTCAGTTCCAAAGAATGACACTGTCGTACTGTATACCGTTACTGCCAGGCTGAAGTGGAGTGAAGGACCGCCAACCAATTTGTCGATTGAATGTTACATGCCCAAGTCACCCGTTGCACCTAAGCCAGAGACTGGTCCTTCATCCAATGCACCAGAACCAGAGACGTATCCAACATCAAGTGCACCTGAAAAGGTATATTCAGATCAACCTGCACCTTCTCACAACCAGAGCAAACTGATCGACTGGGACGTATACTGCAGTCAGAATGAGAGCATTCCAGCCAAATTCATCAGTCGTCTTGTAACCTCAAAGGACCAAGCTTTGGAAAAGACGGAGATAAATTGCAGCAATGGACTGGTCCCAATAACTCATGAATTTGGCATTAATATGATGCTCATTCAGTACACTCGCAATGAGCTCCTGGACAGTCCAGGAATGTGTGTATTTTGGGGACCATATTCAGTTCCAAAGAATGACACTGTCGTACTGTATACCGTTACTGCCAGGCTGAAGTGGAGTGAAGGACCGCCAACCAATTTGCCGATTGAATGTTACATGCCCAAGTCACCCGTTGCACCTAAGCCAGAGACTGGTCCTACATCCAATGCACCAGAACCAGAGACTTATCCAACATCAAGTGCACCTGAAAAGGTATCTTCAGATCAACCTGCACCTTCTCACAACCAGAGCAAACTGATCGACTGGGACGTATACTGCAGTCAGAATGAGAGCATTCCAGCCAAATTCATCAGTCGTCTTGTAACCTCAAAGGACCAAGCTTTGGAAAAGACGGAGATAAATTGCAGCAATGGACTGGTCCCAATAACTCATGAATTTGGCATTAATATGATGCTCATTCAGTACACTCGCAATGAGCTCCTGGACAGTCCAGGAATGTGTGTATTTTGGGGACCATATTCAGTTCCAAAGAATGACACTGTCGTACTGTATACCGTTACTGCCAGGCTGAAGTGGAGTGAAGGACCGCCAACCAATTTGTCGATTGAATGTTACATGCCCAAGTCACCCGTTGCACCTAAGCCAGAGACTGGTCCTACATCCAATGCACCAGAACCAGAGACTTATCCAACATCAAGTGCACCTGAAAAGGTATCTTCAGATCAACCTGCACCTTCTCACAACCAGAGCAAACTGATCGACTGGGACGTATACTGCAGTCAGAACGAGAGCATTCCAGCCAAATTCATCAGTCGTCTTGTAACCTCAAAGGACCAAGCTTTGGAAAAGACGGAGATAAATTGCAGCAATGGACTGGTCCCAATAACTCATAAATTTGGCATTAATATGATGCTCATTCAGTACACTCGCAATGAGCTCCTGGACAGTCCAGGAATGTGTGTATTTTGGGGACCATATTCAGTTCCAAAGAATGACACTGTCGTACTGTATACCGTTACTGCCAGGCTGAAGTGGAGTGAAGGACCGCCAACCAATTTGTCGATTGAATGTTACATGCCCAAGTCACCCGTTGCACCTAAGCCAGAGACTGGTCCTACATCCAATGCACCAGAACCAGAGACTTATCCAACATCAAGTGCACCTGAAAAGGTATCTTCAGATCAACCTGCACCTTCTCACAACCAGAGCAAACTGATCGACTGGGACGTATACTGCAGTCAGAATGAGAGCATTCCAGCCAAATTCATCAGTCGTCTTGTAACCTCAAAGGACCAAGCTTTGGAAAAGACGGAGATAAATTGCAGCAATGGACTGGTCCCAATAACTCATGAATTTGGCATTAATATGATGCTCATTCAGTACACTCGCAATGAGCTCCTGGACAGTCCAGGAATGTGTGTATTTTGGGGACCATATTCAGTTCCAAAGAATGACACTGTCGTACTGTATACCGTTACTGCCAGGCTGAAGTGGAGTGAAGGACCGCCAACCAATTTGTCGATTGAATGTTACATGCCCAAGTCACCCGTTGCACCTAAGCCAGAGACTGGTCCTACATCCAATGCACCAGAACCAGAGACTTATCCAACATCAAGTGCACCTGAAAAGGTATCTTCAGATCAACCTGCACCTTCTCACAACCAGAGCAAACTGATCGACTGGGACGTATACTGCAGTCAGAATGAGAGCATTCCAGCCAAATTCATCAGTCTTGTAACCTCAAAGGACCAAGCTTTGGAAAAGACGGAGATAAATTGCAGCAATGGACTGGTCCCAATAACTCATGAATTTGGCATTAATATGATGCTCATTCAGTACACTCGCAATGAGCTCCTGGACAGTCCAGGAATGTGTGTATTTTGGGGACCATATTCAGTTCCAAAGAATGACACTGTCGTACTGTATACCGTTACTGCCAGGCTGAAGTGGAGTGAAGGACCGCCAACCAATTTGCCGATTGAATGTTACATGCCCAAGTCACCCGTTGCACCTAAGCCAGAGACTGGTCCTACATCCAATGCACCAGAACCAGAGACTTATCCAACATCAAGTGCACCTGAAAAGGTATCTTCAGATCAACCTGCACCTTCTCACAACCAGAGCAAACTGATCGACTGGGACGTATACTGCAGTCAGAACGAGAGCATTCCAGCCAAATTCATCAGTCGTCTTGTAACCTCAAAGGACCAAGCTTTGGAAAAGACGGAGATAAATTGCAGCAATGGACTGGTCCCAATAACTCAAGAATTTGGCATTAATATGATGCTCATTCAGTACACTCGCAATGAGCTCCTGGACAGTCCAGGAATGTGTGTATTTTGGGGACCATATTCAGTTCCAAAGAATGACACTGTCGTACTGTATACCGTTACTGCCAGGCTGAAGTGGAGTGAAGGACCGCCAACCAATTTGTCGATTGAATGTTACATGCCCAAGTCACCCGTTGCACCTAAGCCAGAGACTGGTCCTTCATCCAATGCACCAGAACCAGAGACTTATCCAACATCAAGTGCACCTGAAAAGGTATATTCAGATCAACCTGCACCTTCTCACAACCAGAGCAAACTGATCGACTGGGACGTATACTGCAGTCAGAATGAGAGCATTCCAGCCAAATTCATCAGTCGTCTTGTAACCTCAAAGGACCAAGCTTTGGAAAAGACGGAGATAAATTGCAGCAATGGACTGGTCCCAATAACTCAAGAATTTGGCATTAATATGATGCTCATTCAGTACACTCGCAATGAGCTCCTGGACAGTCCAGGAATGTGTGTATTTTGGGGACCATATTCAGTTCCAAAGAATGACACTGTCGTACTGTATACAGTTACTGCCAGGCTGAAGTGGAGTGAAGGACCGCCAACCAATTTGTCGATTGAATGTTACATGCCCAAGTCACCCGTTGCACCTAAGCCAGAGACTGGTCCTACATCCAATGCACCAGAACCAGAGACTTATCCAACATCAAGTGCACCTGAAAAGGTATCTTCAGATCAACCTGCACCTTCTCACAACCAGAGCAAACTGATCGACTGGGACGTATACTGCAGTCAGAATGAGAGCTTTCCAGCCAAATTCATCAGTCGTCTTGTAACCTCAAAGGACCAAGCTTTGGAAAAGACGGAGATAAATTGTAGCAATGGACTGGTCCCAATAACTCAAGAATTTGGCATTAATATGATGCTCATTCAGTACACTCGCAATGAGCTCCTGGACAGTCCAGGAATGTGTGTATTTTGGGGACCATATTCAGTTCCAAAGAATGACACTGTCGTACTGTATACCGTTACTGCCAGGCTGAAGTGGAGTGAAGGACCGCCAACCAATTTGTCGATTGAATGTTACATGCCCAAGTCACCCGTTGCATCTAAGCCAGAGACTGGTCCTACATCCAATGCACCAGAACCACAGACTTATCCAACATCAAGTGCACCTGAAAAGGTATCTTCAGATCAACCTGCACCTTCTCACAACCAGAGCAAACTGATCGACTGGGACGTATACTGCAGTCAGAATGAGAGCTTTCCAGCCAAATTCATCAGTCGTCTTGTAACCTCAAAGGACCAAGCTTTGGAAAAGACGGAGATAAATTGTAGCAATGGACTGGTCCCAATAACTCATGAATTTGGCATTAATATGATGCTCATTCAGTACACTCGCAATGAGCTCCTGGACAGTCCAGGAATGTGTGTATTTTGGGGACCATATTCAGTTCCAAAGAATGACACTGTCGTACTGTATACCGTTACTGCCAGGCTGAAGTGGAGTGAAGGACCGCCAACCAATTTGTCGATTGAATGTTACATGCCCAAGTCACCCGTTGCACCTAAGCCAGAGACTGGTCCTACATCCAATGCACCAGAACCACAGACTTATCCAACATCAAGTGCACCTGAAAAGGTATCTTCAGATCAACCTGCACCTTCTCACAACCAGAGCAAACTGATCGACTGGGACGTATACTGCAGTCAGAATGAGAGCATTCCAGCCAAATTCATCAGTCGTCTTGTAACCTCAAAGGACCAAGCTTTGGAAAAGACGGAGATAAATTGCAGCAATGGACTGGTCCCAATAACTCAAGAATTTGGCATTAATATGATGCTCATTCAGTACACTCGCAATGAGCTCCTGGACAGTCCAGGAATGTGTGTATTTTGGGGACCATATTCAGTTCCAAAGAATGACACTGTCGTACTGTATACCGTTACTGCCAGGCTGAAGTGGAGTGAAGGACCGCCAACCAATTTGTCGATTGAATGTTACATGCCCAAGTCACCCGTTGCACCTAAGCCAGAGACTGGTCCTTCATCCAATGCACCAGAACCAGAGACTTATCCAACATCAAGTGCACCTGAAAAGGTATATTCAGATCAACCTGCACCTTCTCACAACCAGAGCAAACTGATCGACTGGGACGTATACTGCAGTCAGAATGAGAGCATTCCAGCCAAATTCATCAGTCGTCTTGTAACCTCAAAGGACCAAGCTTTGGAAAAGACGGAGATAAATTGCAGCAATGGACTGGTCCCAATAACTCATGAATTTGGCATTAATATGATGCTCATTCAGTACACTCGCAATGAGCTCCTGGACAGTCCAGGAATGTGTGTATTTTGGGGACCATATTCAGTTCCAAAGAATGACACTGTCGTACTGTATACCGTTACTGCCAGGCTGAAGTGGAGTGAAGGACCGCCAACCAATTTGTCGATTGAATGTTACATGCCCAAGTCACCCGTTGCACCTAAGCCAGAGACTGGTCCTACATCCAATGCACCAGAACCACAGACTTATCCAACATCAAGTGCACCTGAAAAGGTATCTTCAGATCAACCTGCACCTTCTCACAACCAGAGCAAACTGATCGACTGGGACGTATACTGCAGTCAGAATGAGAGCATTCCAGCCAAATTCATCAGTCGTCTTTTAACCTCAAAGGACCAAGCTTTGGAAAAGACGGAGATAAATTGCAGCAATGGACTGGTCCCAATAACTCAAGAATTTGGCATTAATATGATGCTCATTCAGTACACTCGCAATGAGCTCCTGGACAGTCCAGGAATGTGTGTATTTTGGGGACCATATTCAGTTCCAAAGAATGACACTGTCGTACTGTATACCGTTACTGCCAGGCTGAAGTGGAGTGAAGGACCGCCAACCAATTTGTCGATTGAATGTTACATGCCCAAGTCACCCGTTGCACCTAAGCCAGAGACTGGTCCTACATCCAATGCACCAGAACCAGAGACTTATCCAACATCAAGTGCACCTGAAAAGGTATCTTCAGATCAACCTGCACCTTCTCACAACCAGAGCAAACTGATCGACTGGGACGTATACTGCAGTCAGAATGAGAGCATTCCAGCCAAATTCATCAGTCGTCTTGTAACCTCAAAGGACCAAGCTTTGGAAAAGACGGAGATAAATTGCAGCAATGGACTGGTCCCAATAACTCATGAATTTGGCATTAATATGATGCTCATTCAGTACACTCGCAATGAGCTCCTGGACAGTCCAGGAATGTGTGTATTTTGGGGACCATATTCAGTTCCAAAGAATGACACTGTCGTACTGTATACCGTTACTGCCAGGCTGAAGTGGAGTGAAGGACCGCCAACCAATTTGTCGATTGAATGTTACATGCCCAAGTCACCCGTTGCACCTAAGCCAGAGACTGGTCCTACATCCAATGCACCAGAACCAGAGACTTATCCAACATCAAGTGCACCTGAAAAGGTATCTTCAGATCAACCTGCACCTTCTCACAACCAGAGCAAACTGATCGACTGGGACGTATACTGCAGTCAGAATGAGAGCATTCCAGCCAAATTCATCAGTCGTCTTGTAACCTCAAAGGACCAAGCTTTGGAAAAGACGGAGATAAATTGCAGCAATGGACTGGTCCCAATAACTCAAGAATTTGGCATTAATATGATGCTCATTCAGTACACTCGCAATGAGCTCCTGGACAGTCCAGGAATGTGTGTATTTTGGGGACCATATTCAGTTCCAAAGAATGACACTGTCGTACTGTATACCGTTACTGCCAGGCTGAAGTGGAGTGAAGGACCGCCAACCAATTTGTCGATTGAATGTTACATGCCCAAGTCACCCGTTGCACCTAAGCCAGAGACTGGTCCTACATCCAATGCACCAGAACCACAGACTTATCCAACATCAAGTGCACCTGAAAAGGTATCTTCAGATCAACCTGCACCTTCTCACAACCAGAGCAAACTGATCGACTGGGACGTATACTGCAGTCAGAATGAGAGCATTCCAGCCAAATTCATCAGTCGTCTTGTAACCTCAAAGGACCAAGCTTTGGAAAAGACGGAGATAAATTGCAGCAATGGACTGGTCCCAATAACTCAAGAATTTGGCATTAATATGATGCTCATTCAGTACACTCGCAATGAGCTCCTGGACAGTCCAGGAATGTGTGTATTTTGGGGACCATATTCAGTTCCAAAGAATGACACTGTCGTACTGTATACCGTTACTGCCAGGCTGAAGTGGAGTGAAGGACCGCCAACCAATTTGTCGATTGAATGTTACATGCCCAAGTCACCCGTTGCACCTAAGCCAGAGACTGGTCCTACATCCAATGCACCAGAACCACAGACTTATCCAACATCAAGTGCACCTGAAAAGGTATCTTCAGATCAACCTGCACCTTCTCACAACCAGAGCAAACTGATCGACTGGGACGTATACTGCAGTCAGAATGAGAGCATTCCAGCCAAATTCATCAGTCGTCTTGTAACCTCAAAGGACCAAGCTTTGGAAAAGACGGAGATAAATTGCAGCAATGGACTGGTCCCAATAACTCATGAATTTGGCATTAATATGATGCTCATTCAGTACACTCGCAATGAGCTCCTGGACAGTCCAGGAATGTGTGTATTTTGGGGACCATATTCAGTTCCAAAGAATGACACTGTCGTACTGTATACCGTTACTGCCAGGCTGAAGTGGAGTGAAGGACCGCCAACCAATTTGTCGATTGAATGTTACATGCCCAAGTCACCCGTTGCACCTAAGCCAGAGACTGGTCCTACATCCAATGCACCAGAACCAGAGACTTATCCAACATCAAGTGCACCTGAAAAGGTATCTTCAGATCAACCTGCACCTTCTCACAACCAGAGCAAACTGATCGACTGGGACGTATACTGCAGTCAGAATGAGAGCATTCCAGCCAAATTCATCAGTCGTCTTGTAACTTCAAAGGACCAAGCTTTGGAAAAGACGGAGATAAATTGCAGCAATGGACTGGTCCCAATAACTCATGAATTTGGCATTAATATGATGCTCATTCAGTACACTCGCAATGAGCTCCTGGACAGTCCAGGAATGTGTGTATTTTGGGGACCATATTCAGTTCCAAAGAATGACACTGTCGTACTGTATACCGTTACTGCCAGGCTGAAGTGGAGTGAAGGACCGCCAACCAATTTGTCGATTGAATGTTACATGCCCAAGTCACCCGTTGCACCTAAGCCAGAGGCTAGTCCTACATCCAATGCACCAGAACCACAGACTTATCCAACATCAAGTGCACCTGGAACTAGCCCTGAAGGAAGCGCAACCGCTGCACCCGGAACTAGCCCTGAAGGAAATACGACTGCTGCTCGAAACGCCTATCCAAGAAAATCGAACCAGACCACTTCCACAGAAGATGTGCTTGACGATACATCCAACTACATTATTAAAGTGATTCCTCACTGCAGAACAAGAGGGGATGTTGCACTGATAGAGATAATAACAGATGTTGACCTGTCAGCTGTGGCGGTCTGCTCCAACGGCTCCAGGCACCATTTCAACTCCACAGACTTTGTCCACTTCTACCTGCCTGTATCCTACAACGTCACTCCCAGTGTATGTGCGTTCACTCGCAGTAAAGCCAATCTCTTTAAGTTGCACATAGGAGTATCATGGAAAGATCGATTGCACGATGTGACTACACAAAAAAAAGACTTTCTGATAACATGTACATTTGATCCACATAAAAGCCACAGGGGTCCTACGTCGGCCTCTTCCGAGCCGCTCATTGCTGCCAAGGAGATCCAGTCACATCAAGGCCCGCAAAGTGACGCTGAAGAAGTGTTTCTGAAGCTGGTAGATATCCGGAATGAAACTCTCGCTGCCGCTGTCCCCTTGTCCAAGAAGGTCCGGTTGGTAGGGGAGGTCCATGGTTCGAGCTTGGAAAGTGGTTTAAAGCCAGTGGCGTGCGATGCTGTAGGAGTCCAACAGGGGCAGAGATATGCAATATTACGGGATGGATGTGGAGACGGCATTGTGTTCGCCAAGGACATCGGTTTCATTACCGAAGGAAATAAAGCTTTCAGTCCAGTTTTCGAGGTATTCAAGTAAGTATATCTTAAGGGACTAGTTGTGATGATAAACCCATCTTGCTCACGTCGCTTATTTCACACATACTAGTATCTGACCGCCTCCGTAGTCTGGTGGTAGTGCGGCCACACGGAGAGTGAAAGGTCCAGGGTTCGATCCCCAGCCGCGTCATGCCTAAATACGTTAAAAGATGGTACTTGTTGTTACCCTGCCTGGGGATCGGCATTAAGGGACCAAAACGAGGACTGGACGGCTTGGAGTCAGTATACCCAGTCTGAGTAGGGTATTAATGATAATCTGCGGCATGGTATCTCGGTGAGCTAGCACTATAAAATCGGCATTGCCAGACAAGTGCACGCACGCACCAACGTCGCTATATAAGTGCAATAATCTTTGAAGCGACGTGAAACCTATTTCACCCTCTCACAGATATATACTACTGGGAACCTCTACAGTTTCATCGATTTACCAATATTGTCTGTAATATGACCTAATAGGTAGCCACTATACCTCAGATGAATTGATGAATGATGGGAGGGGGGGGGTCATATGCTTGCAAATTCAGTTCTTACAAACTGTTGGAGGAATGAGTGATGGTTAAATAGACCTAATCAAACACATTTCTTTCAATTTCAGTGACTTTAAAAAAAACCACTCTGTATACCTATGATTGTGGGTTCGAATCCCGGTTCGCCCCGATTATGTTTCTAGGTTTGTCAGCACCATACCCGTGCTCGTGGGTTTCACCGAAGTGGTAAACGTCTGAGACCTGCATCACTTCGGGCTTTCCTCCAACATTAAGCTGACACGCCGTGATATAACTGGAATACTGTTAAAAGCGGCGTTAAACCCAACTCACTCACTCACCTTTCAGTCATTCGATAATTAACGGGCTTATGTGTTATAGCGGGAGCATAGCTACCAAATGGCTCGTAAAACGCCACCCAAACAAACCATACAAATGTTTCCTCACTTGATAACAATTCTGTTGCAGGCTACACGGAAATCTGCATTTGACGTTCATGTGTAATTTCACGCTCTGTACCCACTCATGTGATGGCAGCTCCTGTTCAAACCAGCGTCGTACAAGAAGGTCGATGGCGTGGCAAGACATCCCTCACGTTGCAGACTTTGACTCGTCAGCAACACCTTCCACAGACATGGCGACAGTTCAAGTCGCGTTGCTTGTAGCCGTCGCATTACTCATAACCCAACTCGCAGGCCTTGCCATATATGTAAACATAAACTAGAATGAAACGCAAAACGTCTGATGTCATCCTTTGCTGACCAGTCCTAGAATCACTTGTTTGCTGCTGTTTGCGGCTCTGTGTTGGTGGGTGGGTGAGTGGTGTGGTTTGGGGGAACGGGGTGCGGGGAATCTTTTGATTGAGGTACTGGAGCCAGGAAGTCTCTTTGCCCAGCACACCCTTCTTCACCTAGGCTGTTAGTAGAATTTTCACGGTTTTATCAGTGGGCGGTCGGGTAGCCTGGTGGTTAAAGTGTTTGCTCGTCACGCCGAAGACCCGGGTTCGATTCCCGACATGGGTACAAAGTGTAAAGTCCATTTCTGGTGTCCCCCGCCGTAATATTGCTGGAATATTCCTAAAATCGGCGTTAAGCCATACTCAATCACGGTTTTATCAGTCACTGGTCACACCGTGGGCTCAGCTTAGAAAACCAGTGAATAATATAAATGATCATTCGTTGATAATATTTGCCTGAAGATGGTGGCACATACATTGCACATCAGCTTAACTTGTGCCTCTTGTTATTTTGTGTCCAAAACTATATTGTTTTGTTTCCATGGAAATTATTTCGAGGATTCGTTTCCGGGCCATAAATCAGAAAAACCGTTCGACATATTTCAACGAAACATTATGATATTTGGCACAAATCCTGTTTTTTTTTGCTTCCACCTCAGTCAGGCACGCCAAGCTTGGTGAATACGGCATCTGAGATTCAGAAGTGAAGACAGTGCTGTTTATATATCCAGCTATCATATAGACAACTATGATGGTCGTGCAAGGATCTACAGGCGTATTGGAGAACGTTTGAGCGACGCTTGAGTTACCCAACGTCGTCAGTTTAGGTTTTAAAGGGTAATGGTATTGGGTGGCATCACAACTCACGGGGGAACACAGCTCATCATTGTTAATGGCAATCCGAATGGCGAACGCTACCGGGACGACAACGTTCGAGATCCATGTTCTACCCCTTGTGCAAATGCAGGAACGTAATGTCACTTTGCGGCAGGATAATGTCCGCCCACACGGTGCACGTGTTGGAACAGACTCACTGAGGCAGCATAAAATTCCTATACTACCATGGTCGATTTTATCTCCTGACGGGCGGTCGGGTAGCCTAGTGGTTAAAGCGTTCGCTCGTCACGCCGAAGACCCGGGTTCGATTCCCGACATGGGTACAATGTGTGAAGCCCATTTCTGGTGTCCCCCGCCGTGATATTGCTGGAATATTGCTAAAAGCGGCGTAAAACCATACTCACTCACGTTTTTCTCCTGACATCTCCCCCTACACAACATGTCTGGGATGGGACGGAACGGCGCCAACGACAGGACAAGAACCAACCGTATAACTCAAACTCAGTTGGCCCAATCTTTGGTTGACACTTGGAACATTATCCCTAGGTTGTTTTCAGTCACGACCGACACTGACATTGTTGATTTAACTGTTACACCAACCCTCTTTTAGGGCGTGTCACTCTACCAGGCATGGGTTTTGTCAATAAATCTGTCCAGCAAATGTACCACCAAATCCCCGTCTCAACGATTAGCCATAATACTTAATACAATCAAGGAAAGACTTCATTAATATTCTAGAATAGGTCTTCAGCAACCCATACTTGCCGTAAAAGGCGACTAACGGGATCGGGTAGTCAGGCTCGCTTGATGCATGTCATCGATCCCAACTGCGTGGATCGATGCTCATGTTGTCAATCACTTGATCGTCTGGTCCAGACTCGATTATTTACAGACCGCCGTCATATAGCTGGAATATTGCTGTGTGCGTTGTTAAACCACAAATAAAGAAACAAACCAACTAAATTAATATTCACCGAAAGTATTCGAGACAAGCGGAATTAATACCATGTGGATTTTCAAAAACTGAAGATTTTCTTGACTTTTGACAATCTCCAAAAAGAACTAGGTCCAATTTTGTTAAAACATTTGATTTTTCATTCAACACCACTTTCCCACATGACAAACTTAAAGACAGGCTGCATTCCTTGATCAATGGGCCATTTGTTACAAAATGTGCTGACCATACAGTTACAGAACTATCCTCAGAGCTTCAGGTCAATTTGTCAAAAACGAAAGCATGTGAAGTTTACTGAGAAAACAATGTGTTAAATACTGGACTTCATCACTGAATAACATCTCTAACATTTGGGGTTAAGACGTTCAGGCAAGAAGGAACCCTATGGGCACCAATTGTGCTTAAAATCTTGCTGATCTATTTCTTCATACATATGAATAGGAATTTCTACTCGGATCAAAACAAAATTATTTGGCCACGAAATCTAAATTAAGCAGCTGATTCCGATAGCCGATTTCCGCCCACTGATTTACCCACCAGAACAAGAAATAATGGAGACCAGTGAGACCGCCTCATCTGTTTCATAATGAGATCTATGCATAAAGATTCAGTGACAAAACACTCTCCACAGGACTGTATGACAAGAGGGATGACTTTTAAATCGTCATGTTTGGTGTTTGGTGTCTACTGTTGAGGTACAATCGAGCACGCTCTTCCTGCCAAGATTTGATACGACTCTTGCTCAGAAGCAGTTTGATTAAAGTTACAGCATTCAAGGCCCCAGTAAAGCTTTCAAAACGTTTTATGGTAGACATGTGGAGGACATTTCCAAATTTAACGCATTGGTGACAAAATGATGTCCGATGCAATTACGTATTTTGATTTGTTCCCGCGTTTCTATTCAGGTGAATAACTGACTTGCCTTTGCATGTGTTTGTGGGGGCACGGGTGACCCGGTCGTCTAAGGCGCCGAGAATCGCTGTGGAGTTGCGTCCCTTGGGCACGCCAGAAACCTGGGGTTCGAATCCCGGTTCTCCCCGATTATGTTTCTAGGTTTGTCAGCACCATACCCGTGCTCGTGGGTTTCACCGAAGTGGTAAACGTCTGAGACCTGCATCACTTCGGGCTTTCTTCTCGCATTAAGCTGACACGCCGCGATATAACTGGAATACTGTTAAAAGCGGCGTTAAACCCAACTCACTCACTCACTTGCATGTGTTTGTGACGGGTACCACCGGTGGGGTAGGATACGCAAACCGTTTCGCGTGTCATCACTTATTGATAGATTCCCATATTCATGAGTGGGAATCGTACAATCGACTCTACTTTTAACACGGACTTCTAATAAATATGGCTAGGGTTTTGTAGCTTTAATTATTATGAAAAATGGCCAAATCATGTGATAACATACATGTAGCCACCACTTTATGTGAAGCACACTGTTTTCCGTTTGTACACATGTTCCCTGGTGGGGTCTTATAATGAGGGGAGTAGCCATGACGATTGTCATCAGAAACTTTGCCAAAACTCATGGAACTCATGATAATACTAAACATTATACAAATATTTAATTCTGGCGAGTTCAATATGCGAAAACAAGGACCCGATTTGATTACAGTAACTTGGCTGCGAACTATGAAATGTTAGTACCAGACGCCATCTTGTTTCCTAGCAGACGAGTCAATCTTCAATACTGATCATGTGACGACTCAATATCCAAGGTCAGTGTCAGCCACATGATTTGGGGTAAACATGGTAATGTAAGCAAATGTGTCTGTTACTGGTATTTTGTGGTAATTTGAATGCATATATTTCAGTTTGTTATTGCAACACTGTAACAGAGTTACAGTTAGTGAATCAGTGAGTGAGTGAGTATGGTTTTACGCCACATTTAGCAACAACCTAGGATAAAACTGTGTGGGTACTCTAGAATTGGGCTTCACACATTGAACCCATGTGAGGAATCAAACCCGGGGCTCTGGTGTGACAAGCAAACACTTTGCCCAGTAGGCTACCCAACCGCCACATGAGAGCTCCAGCCTGCTTTGGATAAGTGAGTCATTCATAAAAAAGATTCACTTTCTGTGAAGTGTAGAAATCAGTTGGTACAATCTTACATTTACGTCGCCTCACGTGACTTGATTTACAGAGAATATACACAAAATATTTCCACTCAGATCATCAAATTTACATTTCATACATGTAAGTGAGAAGGAGAAGAATCATCTGCTGAAGTCCTCATGTATGGTAAAACAGACACCACAGAGCCCTCACACAGTGTCTGATGACATCACAGACCACTAACACAGTGTCTGAAGACATCACACAGAAATCATACAGTGTCTGATGACATCACAGAGCACTCGCACAGTGTCTGATGACACCACAGAGCACTCACACAGTGTCTGAGGACATCACAGAGCACACGCACAGTGTCTGATGACAGAACACAGTATTCACACAGTGACTGAGGACATCACACAGCACTCATACAATGTCTGATAACATCACAGCACTCGAACAGTGTCTGATGACACCACAGAACACTCACAGTGTCTGTTGACATCACACAGCACTCGCAAAATGTCTGATGACACCTCAGAGCATTCACACAGCATCTGATGACATCACAGATCACTCACAGTGTATGATGACGTCACAGAGCATTTTACATAGTGTTTGATGACATCACAGAGCACTCGCACAATGTCTGATGACATCACACAACTCTCACAGTGTCGGAGGACATCACAGAGCACTTGCACAGTGTCTGATGACACCACACTGCACTCGCACAGTGTCTGATGACATTACAGAGCACTCGCAGAATGTCTGATGACAGCTCAGAGCATTCACACAGCATCTGATGACATCACAGATCACTCACAGTGTATGATGACGTCACAGAGCATTTCCATAGTGTCTGATGACATCACTGAGCAAACATGCTGTATTTGTTCACACCACAGACCACTCACACAGAGTCTGAATGGTACAGGTCCAGGTGACGGAATCGAAGACAACATACTTCATGAAGGAGTGCATGTCCAGGTGATGGCACATGTTGCATGAAGGAGTGCAGGTCCAGGTGATGGAACAGAAGACGACATGGTACATGATGGAGTGCAGGTCCAGGTGATGGTACATGCTACATAAAGTAGTGCAGGTCCAGGTGATGGAACAGAAGACTACATGGAACATGATGGAGTGCAGGTCTAGGTGATGGGACATGCTACATAAAGGAGTGCAGGTCGAGGTGATGGAACTGAACACAACATGGTTCATGATGGAGTGCAGGTCCCGGTGATGGTACATGCTACATGAAGGAGTGCAGGCCCAGGTGATGGAACAGAAGTTTACATGTTACGTGAATGAGTGCAGGTCCAGGTGATGGTACATTCTACATGAAGGAGTGCAGGTCGAAGTGATGGAACAGAAGACAACATGCTACATGAAGGAGTGCAGGTCCAGGTGATGGAACAGAAGGCGACATGCTATATGAAGGAGTGCAGGTCCAGGCGATGGACGACATGCTATATGAAGGGGTGGAACCTATGTTTATCAAACACAGGCGACAAATTAGATAGGGTGGTCAGGCCAATTGTTTTCTGTATCAACTGTTATGTGTCAAGGAAATGTTTGCACTTTAAGAGATATATTACTGGCGGGTATGTAGGCAGTCACCTGTCGACTGACCTCGGCGTCAGGTTATATCCCGAGGATGAGGCTTCCAAATCCCATAAAAATCCTAGGGTAAGTGTTTTATCTAACTTATAAACCGCAAAATGAAACTTAAAACAACACTTATCAACATTTTTATTTTTGAAACATCTGTTGCTGGCGTACGGTTACTTGAAAAAGGGACCGCCTCCGTGGTCTAATGGTAGGGCATCCGCCCGGAGAGCGGAAGGTCCGGGGTTCGGGGTTCGTTAAAAGATGGTACTTGTTCTTACCCTGTCTGGCGCTCGGCATTAAGGGGCTAAAACAAGGACTGGTCGGCTCGGAGTCAGTATACTGTGTCTGAGTGGGGTATTCATGTTAAACTGCGGCATGGTATCTCAGTGTGCTAGCACTATAAATCAGCATCAGTCCGGACTAGTACAAGCAGACACACACACACACACACACACATACACGTGCATGCACGTCGCAATATAAGTGCAATAATCTTGGACGCGACATTAAACCCCATTTCACCTCACCTCACTTGAAAAAGACATTCTTAAAAGCATTGTGATTTATCAGCGCCTCTGTAGCCTAGTGGTTTGTCATTTCATTTCACATTTCATTACATTGCGTTCAAATGAAAAATAGATTTCTAGCGAGAAACATCTATATGTTACAATATAAACGGAAGTTGTATTAATAAATTCACTGGGATATTGTATAAAATCCAGGGGATATTACAACATCCCTGTGTATGAGATTTAACCTGACTGGAGAACAATAGGATGACGTCACTGGAGGTTTATAATTCATGATAAAACATTGTTCTTTTCGGGAAATCATTTCTGGAGATTCGAACTTGCGCTCGCAATTTGACGTCGTAGACCGGACTACGATATTTTTGAAAGGGAAGTGCCTAGTGGGTTCTTCCCCATAGATGTAGCTGGACATCGTAGAAAAACGTCATGGCCGAACGATCGCATCCGGAAGTGGGCGATATATGATTTTCTGTATTAGGGGTGGATGTTTCTTTTACCGCCGTCAAAATTGTAAGAATATCCGTTAAATACCTAACTCAGCCTTCCTTTGACGAAGATGGATCGTATTCAGGGAGTCATTATTATTTCAATACGGGCACTTACGTTTAAAGGGTGTAATCTTTACCAAAAAAACTTAAAAATGCTCTACAATGTCGTTCATGCAGACTATACACAATGTTGATGTATCATTTACCGTCATAGTAAATATAATACAGTATTAATTGCAGAGTGCGGCGTTAAACAACAAAAAATATTTAAGAAATAAACGACTCGTGGTCGTTGTTTTTCGTACAATATAACATTACTGTGCCTCTCATGGTTTATTCTCCTTGCAGTGTTATATTTTACTATAAACACCGACCACGATATCTGTATGCAGTGCGATCTGAATTCATAAACCACAGCCATTTTAATCAAAGACTTATTTCTTCTGCACATGCTCAGATTTAGATTGTTTTACTTCCGGGTGAATCAAACAGTTGGGGGTACAGCACAACATAGTAGAGAACAAATTAACTAACACAATTGCCAACAACACTGCAGGAAGAAATGAAAAAAACACACCAAATCTAGCCGTTTCTCATGGCAATATTTGAGAAAAGTCAACGTGGTGTGCTGGCATTTTGTTCATCTGACGATAAACGGAAATCTGCTGACAAGGTTAGCTTTAGGACGACGGTAATGCCAGCACACCACTCAAGATAAAACTGTATATGCTCGTCAAAACAATTTGGGAAACACTGATATTTTGTAGCACTGTTCATTCGATTCCTTTCAAATTTGGTAAATGGCCTCCTGATCGGCGGCTAACGTACTGATATTGAAGACTACCCTTACTCAAGTGACTTCATGACCAGAACAAAGAATTTGAAATCATACTGGACTCGTCAACGTTCATTTTGACCAGCACTCATTTTCATGGAATTTTTTGTTGTAATCTCCTCCCTTACAGCTGCCGTAAAAATGGAGATCGTGCATTTGCTCACTTATTCTCATGAAGCACGAGCCACAAGTAATTTTTGTGCGAAATTTGGGTTGATAAAGGCAGGTCGCTGTGAAACTGCATCACTGTGTTCAACATGCCACAACGTCTACACCTCACGATTGAAGAACGAGCCAGAGCCATTGTGTGGCTAAATGAGAATGTTTCACAGCGGGAAGCTGCTCGAAGGTTAAATGTTAGTCCATCCGTCATTTGCAGATGACGTCAGCGATTCCAACAAACACAGACAGTACATGATAGACCAAGGTCAGGACGCGCTCGTGTGACAACAGGAAGAGAAGACCGGTACGTCGTTGTTGAATCATTGAGGAGGAGAGCAGTCACAGCAAACCATCTTCGAAGGCAACTGAGGGCTGCTACAGGAACAAATGTCAGTGACCAAACCATAAAAAAACCGTATGAGGGAAAGAAACATCAGGCCCCGACGTCAAGCCGTTAAAACCGCTTCTTCTTCCGCGTCACAGAGCATCCAGAGACGCATGGGCACGGCAACACCGACAGTGGACAAGACAACAGTGGTCAGCAGTTCTTTTTCCTAACTGCAGCATAATGACGGTCGTGTTCTTGTCTACAGACGGCGTGGGCAACGTTTTGCTGACGTCAACGTCCGTGAGCACAATCGTTTTGGGGGTGGTAGTGTCATGGTGTTAGCAGCCTTCTCATTTCATCACAGAACCAATCTGTACGTCATTAACGGGAATTTGAATGCTGTTCGCTACAGGGATGAGATTCTGAGACCAATGGTGATTCCCTTTCTTCATCGAATAGGCCCACAGGCGGTTTTCCAGGATGACAATGCTAGACCTCATCGTGCACGCATAGTCACTGACTTTCTGGGACAAAACAATGTTACTCGCATGGATTGGCCAGCATATTTCCCTGATATGGCACCCATTGAACACGTATGTGATCTGTTAACGAGACGTGTTAGGGAGAACCACCCTCCACCTCAAGATCTGCGCCAGCTTGCTCAATGGCTGAGTTTGGAGTGGCATGCTATCCCACAGAACACACTTCAGACATTAGTGACATCCATGAGGCGTCGTTGTGTTGCATGTGTGGTTGCTAGGGGCGGACACACTCGTTACTGACTTTTCTCTCATGGCCTGGATTTCCAATTTTGACCCCAGTGACATTATTGACAGCAACACTTGTTCACGTTATGAAATGTAGTGGATTGTTCATGATACTTTCTTACTGTATACTCGGTCATTATTGAATTTACTACACGTCTACGTCTTCTGTTCCTTTTTTATTTTAAGTGCAAACATATCAGTGTTCCCTAACTCCTTTTGAGAAGTATATAAAGTTGTTTGACCAGGGTTACAACACTCAAGGCTTCAGTTAATCTTATAAAAAAGACATGTGGACCAATAAAAGAGGCAAACCCTTTCCATATTGTTACGAAATCTCTGCTAGAGTCGACTGTACGAGTCCGAATATATCATGAGCATGACCTTAATGTTTCACTCTTATTACCGTAAAGGTGTGAATATCATGCTTCACTGGTGGTACCCCTCATAAATACACGCAAAGGCAAGTCAATTGTTCACTTGTAAAATAAATTATCTGGAGTCAGTGCCATAGGAAATAAAAGTGATGATCCAGGCTATATCAGAGTTCACGAGAGCTAGTTCAGAAGAAGGTTTCACTGTGGATGACACAGTTGATAAATATTCCAGTGAGTGAAGTTATATATGATATCCGTGACAGTCATCTACCCTGTCGATTAAATAAGGAAAGATATTTTAATGTCAATATTGTTGTGGGAAGATTGTCGGATGACTCGGGTGAATTTACTTCTTTCGGATCAGACGGTTTTACAACCCTTGATTATATGTGCGCTGTATCTGCCTTGTTTAAAAAATAAGTGTTCAAAATTATAATTAAAAATTTTGGAAAATATTTTACAAAACATGGCATCAAAAATAATTATTATAAAGAGTTTTGGAAATTGAAGTGAAAAAAACAGTTAAAGTAATATTACTACTATTAAGTGGCAAGAGTGTTTGAAACATTTTCCAAATCCTACAAGAGATGACATAGACGACAGTCAATTTCCAATGCATATTCACGAGATTTTGCATGATTCATGTATTTCGCGTTCAAGCCCAATGGCCAAATTGTTAAGACTTCCAAATATCCTGTAAATGATGGATTACCGTCAGAACATATAAAAAATATAAATGTTACAACACAATATTGAATGACATTTTTCAAAGAAATTCTACTATAAAGGTTACTACCCAAAATCCATTATTGTTCCTATATCAACGAACGATAATACATAACATCTCAATAATTACAGAAGTGTCTCACTGTTGAATACAATGAGTAAGATTTTTTTATCCATCCTGAATAAATACATTTGTGTAAACGTAACAGATAATTGGGGAATATAGAGGGTACTTTATAAAACTCATACACAAGAAGAAGAAAATAGAGATTTTATGGTAAATTTATTGATTTTATAAAAGCGTTCCATATGGTTGACAGAAGTTTGTTTTATTATCTTCTAAATAATAATGTACATGGCAAATTCTTCACAATAACGGAAGTATATATATAAGCACTTAATACTAGCGGTTGCACTTCAAAATGAATATTAGTTGTCTGAATAATTCTTTAGGAAAGCTGATTTTATGCGTGGAGGGAAATATTTCGAAACTATTTCTTTTAAGGAAGGTCGCAGTCAGTGTCTAGTTCAGTACCCTTCAGCATCCATGATACATGTGTGAAACGTGGCATTTTTCTACGGAAATATATTATAAGCGGTGCTAAACATATTTTTTCCAGCTGTATACATTAAAGTCCTAAATAATATCGATCCGCCCCAATACGAACACACGAGTAGCACTACAACAAGTAATAGTAGTTGCAGAACGTCGGAGTTACCACGTTCTGGTGATGTCACGCTGGCCGTGGATCGATGCTCATGATATCAATCACTGGATTGTCTGGTCCAGACTCGATTATTTTCAGACCATTGTCATATAGCTGGAATATTGCTGAGTGCGGCGTTAAACAACAACCCAACCAACAACCGTACATTATCGAGTCGGGATCAAGCCAAACCAATGGCCCAAAATAGTATCTTACAATTAAACTTCTTTCCACACAGCCCGTCCTCCCTTATGTGTCGATGTATAGTTGTCAATCGATACATGACCTGCACGATGCTTCGGTGTATGGTACAAGCCCAGATTGTTTGATGAATGTAATCAAAACAAGAGTTTGCCACTAACGTGGCTATATCCCCCGCCCCTGTTGCAGAAGTTTCATGTAAAAACATTGAACGGTTTATGAGTTATGCTCCGGAAACAAACCCTACCCTCACAGAACCTAAGTCCATCTTGTTGCCATGGAAACGTAAAAAATAAACATTTCTAAAATTTCTAAATAGCAAAAGGCACAAGTTCAGCATGTACCTGACAGACCTTCAAAGTTTGATGTAAAAACATTGAACGGTTTATGAGTTATGCTCCGGAAACAAAACCTACCCTCACAGAACCTAAGTCCATCTTGTTGCCATGGAAACGTAAAAAATATAAATTTCTAAAATTTCTAAATAGCAAAAGGCACCAGTTCAGCATGTACTTGACAGACCTGCAAAGTTTCATGAAAAAATATTGAACGGTTTCTGAGTTATGCTCCGGAAACAAAACGTGACGGACGGACGGACGGAGCCCGTTTCTATATCCCACGCCAACTTTGTTGTTATTTAAACATGTATACACTGACAAACCAAAGTAACTGAGATCGTATTAATTACTTAAAATGATTACCTATTGTGACATGATATTTATGACTTTCGTGGTTGATCACTGTGTACGCGTGTACACAACAAAGGAACTATCAACACACACCAGGGTCACTTTGAAACAGTAGGGTATTAGGGAGACAAGAAAATCAAAATGCTATATATATATACCTATGGAAATGAATTAAGTAACAATGAACAATGGTCAATAATAATAAGCTTTACTGTTAGTAGATTCCGATAAGGGCGCATACAAGTTCAACAACTGTCAGAATCAAATGTTGAGATGTGTCTGTGTGCAATGTTTCCCACGTGTATTTGGCAGACAAGGCTTGAACCCATGATAGCATATCATTGTACTGTGTCTAAAACTATGTGTTCCCTTATTCATTTCCAACAGTCTATTTCTGGTGTGACATGAAAATAACCAAATATTTATACATAATCTGTGTACATTTCCTGTATTTATTGCTGGGTAGAATGAAAAGAAAACCACTCCCTTAAGCACATGTAGTCAGTTTCATCGGAATTAAATAACAGTACACTTCAATGTCTTCAATGCATTAAGCAAGAAGAATTAATTAATTAAGTGACCACAATTACTTTGTTTTTGGGTACATATAAATCAGACTAATCCCATGTAATCCTGTGAACACAGGTGCAGTACATGATCCTAGTTTCCGTTTTGTTTTGTTGTACTGTATATAAAGAAAACATTTTGCAACATCACAACCAGCAGCCGTAATACTTCTGGAACAATATGGCTGCCCTCAGGCAAATCACCATCTGCCTAATACAAACTTGCTTACACGTTTCCATGGCAACGGAAAGAATATTGATGTTTTACATCTGAACATGGTGTATGCTTTAGATTACCGCCTGGTGGACTGTTGTGAATGTGTCATTGTCATCTATTGATATCTGTCTCAGCACCGTGATGCTTTCTACTGCCCTGCAAGCTGTACCAAGCACAATCTGGGTCATATGTATGCGATGTTCGTGAATTTGTGAACGTATTTTGTGATTTGCTCCGACACGATACACGATAGACCCAACTGCATCCATCAAAATTACATTAAACACAAGTGAAGATGTATGTGTTTCACCACAGAGAGATGACGGAACAGTGAAGGTTTATACATTTTTGTCCCGAAAAACAAATGGACGGTAGCATGGCAGTCGGGAGATAATAATATATAAATCATATCAGTGGTTTTTTTTAAAACAGATAACCATCTGTGAATAAGTAACGAAGTTGGGCCAACTCTTTTCGTTAAATTATTTCAGTTTCCCTGTTTCGAAATATCTACAACAAAAACAACACAAGTTCAAATTCTTGATCAGTTGTGTATATCAGTGCCATTAGGGTATCTACTTGAGCAAGGCCAGCATGAAGGACAGCACTGAGAACAGCACGAGGAGAAGTGAAGGCGGAGAGGTACAGGCGTCACAGGCGGCAGGTTTCCCGAGCTTCTCAAATTCTGCCAGGACATCTCCAGTTCTCTTCGGACAGGAACCATAGGCTGCCTTAGTGCAGCTATCAGACAGCTGCGATAGACTGAAAATGCCAAGATTAAATGGGACAGGCTCAGTGAGGATGAATTTTCGAAATATCTGAAGATCAGGATGGCCAAATTCTCACGTCCTCATTTTTCTTACATTTCAAAATTACTATCATACATTAATCAAGCGGTGCTTTATGAATTTGTGTTATAATTTTTGGCTACTAAATCCAGAGATAAACAGTGATGCAGTCACACATGTATTCAACTGACACACAGAACAGAGTGATATTTGTGTGCCTTTTTATGCATGCTTTCAATATTCTATAGCACATTTTGAAGTACGTTTTGGGTATACCTGCACATGGTTGCGAGGTATCCATCAGGCGTGGAAAAGTCAGAACGTCCTTTGTGGCCAGCCAGCACACAGTTCAGCAGGGTGGTTGACCTACCAGTTTCTGCCAGGCATGTATAGTCCACATCTGAATAAATACACATTCACAGGTTCAGATCAAGACTGACGGTCTGACTGACTGAAGCGTACATAAAAGGTCTTACAAGGGCCATAACGCAACGTAACTACAATGTCACAAGTTTTATATGTACAAGTAAATAGCAACAGGTGTGATTTTGCTTTGCTGCTTAGACTGTGATATATTTACAAGTGCTTGTTTACATTTTGTAAATACTTATTTCGTAACAATAAATATTTGAACCTAACCCTAACCCTAAGCCTAACTTACCCAAACCCTAACTTACCCTAACCCTAACTCTAACTTACCCCAACCCTAACCCTAACCCTAACTGACCCCAACCCTAACCCTAACCCTAACTTACCCTAACCCTAACTGACCCCAACCCTAACCCTAACCCTAACTTACCCTAACCCTACCCCTAACTTACCCAAACCCTAACCCTAACCCTAACTTACCCAAACCCTAACCCTAACCCTAACTTACCCTAACCCTAACTGACCCCAACCCTAACCCTAACCCTAAACCTAACTTACCCTAACCCTAACCCTAACTTACCCAAACCCTAACCCTAACCCTAACCCTAACTTACCCCAACCCTAACCCTAACCCTAACTTACCCAAACCCTAACCCTAACCCTAACCCTAACCCTAACCCACTAACATGATGCTGCAACGTAAAGGCCAGTCTTTCAAGCACAGTTACCGTTTATGTTGTTACACAAGTAGTCGAGTGCCTTTTTGATCTGGTCAAGGGATGGGAATGCTCTTTGCCAGGCAGATGGAATGCAAGCGAATAACTTGGCATATAAACATCCATAGAAGTCGAAAACAAGTGTCTTGGTTCTGGAAAAGTGTACACATGTATTACTCAACAATGCCGCGGATGGAAAATGAAAACACAACATCCAACTGCCATTCAACTGAACACCTGACAACACACTTAATCACCATGGACACGACCGTCACTGGCTACTGTACACAGTGAGACCAGCTACAGTAAACAGTGAGACTGACAACTATGCAGAGTGAGACCAGCAACCGTACAGAGTAAGACCGGCTACTGTACAGAGTAAGACTGGCTTCTGTATAGAGTGAGACCGGCTACTGTGCACAGTAAGACCGGCTACTGTACAGAGTGAGACTGGCTTCTGTACAGAGTGAGACTGGCTTCTGTTCAGAGTGAGACCGGCTACTGTACAGAGTGAGACTGGCTTCTGTACAGTGAGACTGACTTCTGTACAGAGTAAGACCGGCTTCTGTACAGAGTGAGACTGGCTTCTGTACAGAGTAAGACTGGCTTCTGTACAGTGAGACTGGCTTCTGTACAGAGAGAGACTGGCTTCTGTACAGAGTGAGACCGGCTTCTGTACAGAGTGAGACCGGATACTGTACAGAGTGAGACTGGCTTCGGTACAGAGTGAGACCGGCTTCTGTACAGAGTTAGACCGGCTTCTGTACAGAGTAAGACTGGCTTCTGTACAGAGTTAGACTGGCTTCTGTACAGAGTGAGACCGGCTTCGGTACAGTGAGACTGACTTCTGTACAGAGTAAGACTGCCTTCTGTACAAAGTGAGACTGGCTTCTGTACAGAGTAAGACTGGCTTCTGTACAGAGTGAGACCGGCTTCTGTACAGTGAGACTGGCTTCTGTACAGTGAGACTTGCTTCTGTACAGAGTAAGACCGGCTTCTCTACAGTGAGACTGGCTTCTGTACGGAGTAAGACCGGCTACTGTACAGAGTAAGACTGGCTTCTGTACAGCGTAAGACTGGCTTCTGTACAGAGAAAGACTGGCTTCTGTACACAGTAAGACTGGCTTCTGTACAGAGTAAGACTGGCTTCTGTACAGAGAAAGACCGGGTTCTGTAGAGTGAGACCTGCTTCTGTACAGAGTAAGACTGCCTTCTGTACAGAGTAAGACTGGCTTCTGTACAGTGAGTCTGGCTACTGTACAGAGTAAGACCGGATACTGTACATAGTGAGACTGGCTACTGTACAGAGTGAGGCCGGCTACTTTACAGAGTGAGACTGGATACTGTACAGAGTGAGACTGGCTTCTGTACAGAGTGAGACTGGCTTCTTTACAGAGTGAGACCAGATACTGTACAGAGTGAGACTGGCTTCTGTATACAGAGAGACTGGCTTCTGTACAGAGTGAGACTGGCTTCTGTACAGAGTGAGACCAGATACTGTACAGAGTGAGACTGGCTTCTCTACAGAGTTAGACTGGCTTCTGTACAGAGTAAGACTGGCTTCTGTACAGAGTGAGACCAGATACTGTACAGAGTGAGACTGGCTTCTGTATACAGAGAGACTGGCTTCTGTACAGAGTGAGACTGGCTTCTGTACAGAGTGAGACCAGATACTGTACAGAGTGAGACTGGCTTCTCTACAGAGTTAGACTGGCTTCTGTACAGAGTAAGACTGGCTTCTGTACAGAGTGAGACCGGCTTCTCTACAGAGAAAAACTGGCTTCTGTACAGAGTGAGACTGGCTTCTGTACAGTGAGACTGGCTTCTGTACAGAGTAAGACCGGCTTCTGTACAGTGAGACTGGCTTATGTACAGAGTAAGACCGGCTACTGTACAGTGAGACTGGCTTCTGTACAGAGTAAGACTGGCTTCTGTACAGAGAAAGACTGGCATCTGTACAGAGTGAGACCGGCTTCTGTACAGAGTGAGACTCGATACTGTACAGAGGGAGACTGGCTTCTGTACAGAGTGAGACTGGCTTCTGTACAGACTTAGACTGGCTTCTGTACAGAGTAAGACTGGCTTCTGTACAGAGTAAAACTGGCTTCTGTACAGAGTAAGACCGGCTTCTGTACAGAGAAAGACTGGCTTCTGTACAGAGTAAGACTGGCTTCTGTACAGAGTAAGACTGGCTTCTTTACAGAGTAAGACTGGCTTCTGTACAGAGAAAGACCGGCTTCTGTACAGTGAGACTGGCTTCTGTACAGAGTAAGACTGGCTTCTGTACAGAGTAAGACTGGCTTCTGTACAGTGAGACTGGCTACTGTACAGAGTAAGACCGGCTTCTGTACAGTGAGACTGGCTACTGTACAGAGTAAGACCGGCTTCTGTACAGTGAGACCAGCTACTGTACAGAGTGATAATCTAATGTACATTGTGAGACCGGCTACTATGCACAGTAAGAACAGCTACTGCACAGAGTAAAACTTGCTACTGTACAGAGTGAGACCGGCTTCTGTACAGTGAGACAGGCTTCTGTACATTGAGACTGGCTTCTGTACAGAGTAAGAGTGGCTTCTGTACAGAGTAAGACTGGCTTCTGTACAGAGTGAGACCGGCTTCTGTACAGTGAGACTGGCTTCTGTACAGAGTAAAACTGGCTTCTGTACAGAGTGAGACCGGCTTCTGTACAGTGAGACTGGCTTCTGTACAGAGTTAGACTGGCTTCTGTACAGTGAGACTGGCTTCTGTACAGAGTAAAACCGGCTTCTGTACAGTGAGACTGGCTACTGTATAGAGTCAGACTGGCTTCTGTACAGTGAGACCACCTACTGTACAGAGTGATAATATAATGTACATTGTGAGACCGGCTACTATGCAGAGTAAGAACAGCTACTGCACAGAGTAAGACTTGCTACTGAACAGAGTTAGACCGGCTACTGTACAGAGTAAGACTGGCTTCTGTACAGTGAGACTGGCTACTGTACAGAGTAAGACCGGCTTCTGTACAGTGAGACTGGCTACTGTACAGAGTAAGACCGCCTTCTGTACAGTGAGACTGGCCTCTGTACAGAGTAAGACTGGCTTCTGTACTGAGTAAGACTGGCTTCTGTACAGAGTAAGACTGGCTTCTGTACAGAGTAAGACTGGCTTCTGTACAGAGAAAGACTAGCTTCTGTACAGAGTAAGACTGGTTTCTGTACAGAGTAAGACTGGATTCTGTACAGAGAACGACTAGCTTCTGTACAGAGAAAGACCGGTTTATGTACAGTGAGACTGGCCTCTGTACAGAGTAAGACTGGCTTCTGTACTGAATAAGACTGGCTTCTGTACAGAGTAAGACTGGCTTCTGTACAGAGTAAGACTGGCTTCTGTACAGTGAGACCGGCTACTGTACAGAGTGAGACTGGCTACTGTACAGAGTGAGACCGGATACTGTACAGAGTGAGACTGGCTTCTGTACAGAGTAAGACTGGCTTCTGTACAGTGAGGCTGGCTTCTGTACACAGAGAGACTGGCTTCTGTACAGAGTGAGACCGGCTTCTGTACAGAGTGAGACCGGATACTGTACAGATTGAGACTGGCTTCTTTACAGAGTTAGACTGGCTTCTGTACAGAGTAAGACTTTCTTCTGTACAGAGTGAGACTGGCTTCTGTACAGAGTGAGACTGGCTTCTGTACAGTGAGACTGGCTTCTGTACAGAGAGAGACTGGCTTCTGTACAGAGTGAGACCGGCTTCTGTACAGAGTGAGACCGGATACTGTACAGAGTGAGATTGGCTTCTGTTCAGAGTGAGACCGGCTACTGTACAGAGTTAGACCGGCTTCTGTACAGAGTAAGACTGGCTTCTGTACAGTGAGACCGGCTACTGTACAGAGTGAGACTGGCTACTGTACAGAGTGAGACCGGATACTGTACAGAGTGAGACTGGCTTCTGTACAGAGTAAGACTGGCTTCTGTACAGTGAGGCTGGCTTCTGTACACAGAGAGACTGGCTTCTGTACAGAGTGAGACCGGCTTCTGTACAGAGTGAGACCGGATACTGTACAGAGTGAGACTGGCTTCTTTACAGAGTTAGACTGGCTTCTGTACAGAGTAAGACTGGCTTCTGTACAGAGTGAGACTGGCTTCTGTACAGAGTGAGACTGGCTTCTGTACAGTGAGACTGGCTTCTGTACAGAGTAAGACCGGCTTCTGTACTGTGAGACTGGCTTATGTACAGAGTAAGACCGGCTACTGTACAGTGAGACTGGCTTCTGTACAGAGTAAGACTGGCTTCTGTACAGAGTAAGACTGGCATCTGTACAGAGTAAGACCGGCTTCTGTACAGAGTAAGACTGGCTTCTGTACAGAGTAAGACTGGCTTCTTTACAGAGTAAGACTGGCTTCTGTACAGAGAAAGACCGGCTTCTGTTCAGTGAGACTGGCTTCTGTACAGAGTAAGACTGGCTTCTGTACAGAGTAAGACTGGCTTCTGTACAGTGAGACTGGCTACTGTACAGAGTAAGACCGGCTTCTGTAAAGTGAGACTGGCTACTGTACAGAGTAAGACCGGCTTCTGTACAGTGAGACCAGCTACTGTACAGAGTGATAATCTAATGTACATTGTGAGACCGGCTACTATGCACAGTAAGAACAGCTACTGCACAGAGTAAGACTTGCTACTGTACAGAGTGAGACCGGCTTCTGTACAGTGAGACTGGCTTCTGTACATTGAGACTGGCTTCTGTACAGAGTAAGAGTGGCTTCTGTACAGAGTAAGACTGGCTTCTGTACAGAGTGAGACCGGCTTCTGTACATTGAGACTGGCTTCTGTACAGAGTTAGACCGGCTTCTGTACAGAGTGAGACTGGCTTCTGTACAGAGTAAAACTGGCTTCTGTACAGAGTGAGACCGGCTTCTGTACAGTGAGACTGGCTACTGTACAGAGTTAGACTGGCTTCTGTACAGTGAGACTGGCTACTGTACAGAGTAAGACTGGCTTCTGTACAGAGTAAGACTGGCTTCTGTACAATGAGACTGGCTTCTGTACAGAGAGAGACTGGCTTCTGTACAGAGTGAGACCGGCTTCTGTACAGAGTGAGACCGGATACTGTACAGAGTGAGATTGGCTTCTGTTCAGAGTGAGACCGGCTACTGTACAGAGTTAGA